AAAGTTATATGATTGCAAGGTTTTTTTTGTTTTTCTTTTTTTTTTTTTTTAACTAATAGCTGCCCTGCAGAAAGGGAAATCCAGCAGCCATTCAAAGGTCTTTGTATTTTTAAGTCTTAAATTGATTTATTCATAAATATAATTAACTTTCAGCCTGCAAGATTCAAAGTGGGGGGAAGTAGGCATAAAGCATGGCTAAAGTCAGGGGAAACATGGTAGTATATGGCTACACTGCTTGAACAAAAAACAGAGACTGAGAACAGATAAAATAGCTCTTTAGTTTGAGAACAGGCAGTGGGGAAAAAATGGCTATGCCTCAACACTGTGCTAAAGCCTGGCTCCACTGACAGCTGCTTTGCACTGAAGTGACAACTCTGAAGCAGAGCCTGCCACCCTGGTGAAACATTCCCATTTCATTACTGTTATTTCAGGTGCATGGCAGAAAAGCAACAAAACTCGTGCAGAGCTACTCTGCGATGTATGACTGGATCCTGTTCAGGGACCTGGAAACTAACACCACCCACACTGGTACCTCAGGTTGTTTCAGCACCAGACCCATGTTCAGCACTTGGTTTCCCATTTTGCTAGCCAGAATGAAGTTGGGTTGCTTATTCTGCTTTGAAGCAAGGTGCCAATCAAGTTCCTTGGCCAATTTCTCCCTTTCTTTTATCTCCTGATATGAAGCAGAGGAATGAGAGACTCCTCAGGAAAAACAATAAGCTGAGTGACCAGGACTTCCACATTCTCCTGTATTCCATGACCCCTCCTCCTTACTTTGGCTCTGCCAGCTCCCAAGAACAAGCACATGTGTGAATATAGTCAAAAAACCCTGCACAAATCAGGAAAAACGTCCCATGACTGCAGCTGGCCCTCCTGACATCTACTGTCAACGCCTGCAGAAACACATAGGGAAGCACCAAACCTACCTGCATGAAACCTGACACGCAAATCCCAGCGCTTACCGGAGTGAACACTGCTTAAAGAACGAGACAAAAGGAGTAGAGGAAGAATCTGTAAAGTAACAGGAATAAGTGTTGGTCACTCACTGCCAGAGCTGTTCTGATCCAGAAACACGTGTGCTTCCTTTATACAAGCTTGGCCTGAAGTCTGGAATTGTGAAACCAGCACTTACTGCCATTTTATTTTGGTGTTTTTTTTTTTTTATTTTAAGATTCTTGAAAAAAAACTCTCTTCAAAGAGCAACTAGATGAGGCAGCTAACTGCAATCATGGAATCTCTGCTGCAGGGTCTGTCTCTTTGGTAGTTTTGCAAGCTGTGGGTTGTGAAACAGCTCTCCATTCATGGTTGCCATAGCTGGAGGATTTCCCTGCATACCAGAGCAGCCAGTTTCATGAGGTTACCTGATCACTGAGGGTCACACAGGAAACCATGAAACGATGAACAGAAGCAAGAACCACAAAAACAAGGGAGAGAAACAATAGATTTATAACAGTCATAGAAACCAGCTCCCTCCTCCTAGTCTCATTTAAAGCCTGGTTTAGGGGAATTATCAAAAAAGCCCTAATTGATATAACATAATGCAGTGAAGACAATCAAGTATTGAATCCAGCAATAATATTTTGTTAATAAGAGCTTAAGAACTGCAAAATAACTCAAGAAATATGATACCCTGGACATACTAAACTATCAGACTTTTTCGTTGGAACACAAGAACAGATGATGCAATTTAAAATGAAACATTCCTGCCCCACCTTTGAAACTTCTTTAGGCCATAGGTAACATTTTACCTTATCAAAGTTGCTGCACTGGAATTCCAAATGAAAATTGACAGTGAAAGTTGGAAATGAAGTCAGGCTCCTGAAACATGCCACCTGGTTATACGGCTTTCCCAGAGAGATAACAAATGACTTCAAATTTGTAGAAAGCATCTCTTCTATGCACACCAATTCATTGCTGCACCATAATCCATGCTATTATGTACACCTGAAAAAGGACGCAAAAGCAACTCTATCCTATTGTCACTTTACTTTCCAAAGAAAGCAGTGAAATTCCCAACACCTGGTTGAGAATTGTTTCATTTATTAATCTACAGCTATTCCAAAATGTTTCTCACAAATAGGTCTTTTTGAAGGACAAGAAGCTAACCCTTTTATCTGATCAGCATCTAAGCACACATTTTGGGTGAAGGCCCATGTATTGCAACAGCAACACTGCCGCATCTTAGTTATTTATCCTGTTGATCTAATGCCTTTTCAGAAGAGATTTACACACAGGCACTTATAGTCTGTTTAACAGGAGCTGTTCATCAACACATAGCAAATGTGCACAAATTCCTTTCAAGCTAGGGATGGAGCTGAGGGGATGGGATGGTTACTGTACAAGCCTTCTCTACACCTGCTACATAAGAGTTTCTTACAGAAAGTCACACAGAAAAAAGGCTGCCACACATTCTGGTGACAGCACCCCACGCAGAACAGTATTTCACTGAACCAGATTTAAGCAGCTTAAAGTTACACTTGAATTCAAACCTGCTAAGTTGTTTCAGAGGTGTCAGGCTAACCATAGGAAAGCAAACTCTTGCTTGCCTGCCAGCCGGATACAGCACAAACAGGCCTACAGCCTCTTCCTACCATGCTGCTCTCAGTATTTGTTATTTGCTGAGGAACATCCTTGAGAAGTGAGGGGAATACTCAATCAATCTTACCAGCAGAGAAGCTAGTTATCACTGCCTGATGTTGGTGCTATACACAAGCAGCACTTCCAGGCAGACCAGTAAGCTGGAGTTAGAGCGCGCTCTGGAGACACTCAGTCCTCTCCAAAGCAAGAAACTCGCTACTGATGTTAGGGTTTTGTTTTGTTTTAAGTTACTACTTCCAAATAGAAAGACTGGAGATTCCCCTTTTTACCGCACACTCCTGCACATTAGGATATGTCACGACATCCATCATATGCCATGATCCTTTGAAAAAAAACATCGAGAGGCTTCGCTTCCCTGCATCCTTGCCTCTAGACTGTGCCCACACAGGGACTCTAGTGAAGTTTTAATCGTTAGCCCTGCCTCAGAATCCCATCCCACTCACTAGCTGTCTATTCTAACAGAGTAGGCACTGCCGAGATAGCGAATTTAGCTGGAAGAAAATTCTTCTGAGCATTGTCCATGAAATATTCACAGCAAGATACAGCATGAGTTCTTAAAGAAACTTTGCCACTTGAAATTACTTAAAGTGAAAAAAAAAAAACCCAACCAAAAACCGTGTACCTGGTTTGGCTGTGTTAGTAGTAGAGAACTAGCAATGTACAGTCCTAAGAAGTGACTGGATATTCTAAGTGCTGCATTCTCAAACATTGCATCAGTTCCAAGGGTTTCAAAATGAGCTGCCACAACTCCCCTCTTCATCCTCCCAGCATATAGCATTTTGCAGCTCAGTTAGGACAACAGCTTTGAAACACTGATGCCTCAAAGATCACAAATGAAGTCGCTAGAATCTAAATTCCATGTTTAAGCATTCTGGGGGAAGATTTAATTTGACAGTTGAAGCACATGCTGGATCCCTTTGGATGTCCACACCACCAGTGCTGAATGTACCTCATGCAGCTGTGTATGACAGAACAACAGCTGACTCAACAAGTGATTCAGGCAAAGATGCTGGCGAAGAACTGCTAGAATGTTATTTACAACACTTTCATAGGATACCACAGGCAAGTTTTGCAGATCAGTGCACAGCAAGCACTGAAAGCACAGGATTTTCCAAAGTAACTACTTGTTTTGATCATGTACCGACATAACACTGCTGTTACAAAAACTAAGTCTTGCACAGATGCAAATTAAAAGGAGAGCATCTCAACAAGGCAACATTAGAAACACTCTGAATATGTGATTATCTAAAGATCTTCACTGCTTCAGTTCTCATATATGGAAAGGGCAAGGGGCACAAACTGAAACACAGGAAATTCCACTTGAATATAAGAAAACACTTTTTTTACTGAGAGGATGGTTGAACACTGGCATAGGTTTCCCAGATAGCTGTGGAGTCTCCATCCTTGGAGATATTCAAAACCTGACTGGACATGGTCCTGGGCAACCTGCTCTAGATGACTCTGCTTGAGCAGGTGGATTGGATCAGATGATGTCCAGAGTTCCCTTCCAATCCCAACTTTTCTGCAATTCTGTGACTGTACCTGTTCTCTTGCATTAGGTCTTTGATCTGAGCTAAAATCCAGTCCACCTCTGAAGAAGAATCAGACCACAGTTCTCGGGATTTTGAAATAGACTGCACCGTCTGCATAACCTGCGTGAAGGAAAAATCCAAACATTAGTAACAGATATTACACCATCTCCTGACAGCTGGAGCAAACAGAAGAGACATTGCTACTAAGAGTAGATGCACATGCCATATTTACCTCATCAATACCACTTGAAGAAAACCCTCACAAAAGCTCTCCTTCCTAGGGAAACATTAACAATTAACGTAAGTCATGTCATACTCTGAAAAGGCTTGAATTAAAAGGACAACAGAACCCTTCTGGTGTCCTCATTCTTGTTCTAATACTTGCTCTCCTTGACTTCAGTATAGACTGGGACAGACTCATTTTGAATCATTAACTCCACACGGGGGAAACGGTAGGGTAGAGGTTACCTTTTCAGAACAAGGTTTTACCAGTCATATTATGCACATAGAAGATCCAAATATCAAACCGACACAGCCATCTAGGCAACCCGTAGTCAGCTGAGAGCGTCTAATAAGCAGCAGCAATGTGGAAAACAAACTACTAGGTTGTACCAAGAACGGAAGAAACAGTATTGGAGGTTAGCTCTCAGAAAAGTCAGTGGATTTATTGGTTTGATATATACCTTTCTCAGGAACGCAAATAGCTCACTTAACCTATACGCCCAGTGCTACCACTGGACGCAAGAGACACTTTAGATGACAAATCAAGTATAGAGACATGGCCTAAACATTACAACTAACTAAAGAACCTCCAGCCTATCCATATGCACAACTGGGCACCAACGTATGCAGCCTCCATCAGAGAGCTCCCTTTTGCCCTGGTTTATACCTTAAAGACTAATTACATATTCTTTAAATATAATAATGAATTAACAAAATAGCTAGAGAAGTATCTGGATCAGAAATTGTAGAGTTACATTGTTACAAAGATGACTTCTGCTAACAATTCTTCTTCCTGTGTGGAAGAGAGTACAGACAGAATATACATTTATACAAGGAGACTTGCAACCATAGCAAGAGAGGTACAATTTCTCTGCTATGCCCATCCCTGCGAAGTGTTTAACATATATGCCTAAAAAAAGCTTCAAGTAGTATTTATCTAAAATTTGGAACACTCAATTGCTCTCATGGTTCAAGGAAATAATTATTCGCATGCATTAAACTATCTGCTGTTAAAGGATACAAGAACAAGTCTATATCATTTTTCCAATGCAGTTCTGAATTTCAGAGATGGCATATTTTTAAACTGGCTGTAGCTGGTGCAACAACAGTCTACACTTGCTATAGCATTTGAAAAGAAGTCCCACTCTGGTACAAATAGAAATAAGTTGCAACATTTTCATCACAAAGGAGACTGCAACTGACATTAATCGCACAAACCCTCCATCCCTGTGTCCCAATAATTCAGGGAGATTGGTACATCCTAGCTGTGGCTTCTGAGCCAATAATATTTTTTACCTTATCATTGCTTCCACTTTACTTCCAAGACAACCAACAATTCTATCAATAACCTCTGCTCACTGTCCACTCCACTGACTCTTCCAGCCTGGAGCATTTACATACAAAAAACAACGGCGGAGGGAAACACATTTTACCTTAAAAGGCTGTAGAACAACACACAGCACTGTCACAAGACAGGGTCATGCCTGCTAGTATGCCACACCTACCCACCAGAAACCTTTGGGCATCGATTCACTTTGGCTTCGACCGATATTTTACTTAAATATAACAAACACACTAAAATAAGCAATGTATCACATCCCTGAATACACTGCAGTGGCAGTATAGAAGGAAGGCTTACAAAACATAAAAGCTACAGGCCCTCAGCCTTCATGAGTATTTTAAAGATCTAACATTTAACACACTGTTATACATGGGGAAACCATCCTCTTAAAATTGAGCCTATTGTCTATCGCCACAGAAATTTCAATCGTAACCCAGGAGAGAGAGACACATAAGTAAGAGTTGCTTATACAAGCTCAGACACGAGCCAGAATTTACTTCATCAGGCTTTGGTCATTAACTGCTCCTTGAATTGTCAGGGGTGAAGCAAAATAAAATGCCTCTCTAACTGCCATTTTTATTACAAATGGATTTTCCATGTAAGTGTTGCACTGTATTCAGAACTGGAGTAAGAGTAGAGGAAGAAAAGCTAATAGAGCTGGAACGTAGAGAATTTTATCCTGTGCAGTTTTAAGAATAAGGCAAACCCCACAGGTTTCCTCCTCCTATGCAAAACAATCATAACACTGTCTACTTGTTCTCCCATCTTGTATTATCCTTAAAACTAAGTAATGCTGTGAAGACGACCAGGAAAAAACAAACAAACAAAGACCTGCAGCACTCACCTCAATCAAAGCATATAATATGGAGTTCACACTTCAGCTTCTATTCGTACCATTTGGATGGGATAAAGTCAATTTCACATGAGCTTCAGAAGAAAATTTAAGAAAGCAGCAACAAAACCCTCTTCCTTAGTGTGTAAAGCAGGACTTAAGAGCAGTTTCCATTATATCTCAACTGGAACTGGATTAATCAAGAACTGTCTCTTCTTGGATTCATCAAAAGCTCCATATCAAAGTCAGACCATTCTCCTGTGAGGTTTCCTAGCGATATTCTAAACATCCAGTCATCAACTTGAAACCTATTGACTGAACTTGAAATTACACTTTAGCAATTGACTACAACTCCTGTAGCAACGCCTTTCTGCCTTTCAACCCTGGCCAGTTTCAGTTTTGAAGTCCCATTTTCCAATTCAGTTTGAAATAGTTCCTTCTGCTCTGTTAATACGTTAACAGGTCACTCACCACATATCAATCTGTTTCCTCTGAGACGCAATGGAAAAAAAACGTACAAAGTAAACCAGCTCCAACTACAGAAAAGGAAGTTGGAACAAAGGGAAATCACACTACAAACTCCTAAAACAAGACAATGAGGGAAACTGTATGTTCATTTTCAATGAAATTGCTGAATGCAGTTCTCATTCATGACTAATTCTGTGCTTTGCTGGAGTGTTAGCACACTTTCTCCTTTAGCCCTAACGATATTAATCAAAATGAAAGTGAGAATAGCTCCCCATTAATGACAAGATGTTGGCCATGCCATAGCCAAAAAAAATTTTACAGGCCCTAAAAGCCAGCTGTCCACACATTTGAACAACTACTATCTCATTATTAAGAAGGGGAAGCTAAGCAGAGAGCAACTTCTACCGCAAAGTATTCAGGAGTTCAATCCACAGCAGTAAGAAGGTAAGACTCCAGACCTGCAATTGCAGCATCTCAGTCACTGTCTCACTGCGAAAATGTAGGATAGATGATAGAAAGTCTGGGCTAATGACATCTGAATGACAAGCCTCAATTTTCAGACACCAGAATTAAAGAAAACACACTGACCACTACCCACCTGGGCAAGGCAAGCTTGGGATCTGCAATAAGTACAGATTCCATTTACAAAGTGTGTGCATCAGAAACCGTTACAGCTCAAATTGTTTGTTCTCTACAGTGAGGCTTTGCTTTGAAAAGGCATGTATGACAGCATGAGAGGAGATAACTAAATAAGTAACTAATCAAGCCTCTTCCCTCACCCACAACAGTTGTAGCCCCCCTATCAGCTATATGCTATAATAGCAGAACTACTTTAGGTAAGAGTGCACAACCTGACAAGTATCAGTAGCAATGCGGGCACTGGCTTACTGAAGACTGGCACGTCTTCAGTACCGATAGGAGTATCAGGCGTTTCTGGATAGATTCTAACTGTGGGAGGATGCTACTACAGAGCACTGAGAAAGAAAAATTATGACTCCCTAGAGTTATATTAAAGTCCTAGTACAGCAATTCAGTTCTGCTAGCTCTCAGGTATTTCAGATGAGGCCTGCCCAAGAGCCCCACCTCTTCAATTTGTGCAGGAATGAAGGGAAGACTTATTGCCTGAAGCAGGAAAGGAGAAGAAATGAAAGCGCTGATGGTCAGACTGCACTTACCCGGAACTGCTCGTTCTTGTAGGATACCAGCACATCTCTGACTTTTTCTAGAAATAAACATAAATATATGGCTTAAACAGGGAATGGATCAACTTGCCTCACTGTACAAGGGATTTTTGGAACCCCTGTAAATTTGTCACCTATCTCCAAATGTATCTTGGCCAGCTGTTTAGTTCTGCTGAATATGTGCTCAAGGAAGACATTAACGAAATTAAGTTATAAATCTGAAGTCAGACAACCCTCTGAAGGCTCCTGCGTCTCCCAGACTCTTGTGGTAATATATTTTTTATCATGTGGGGTCAAAATCAGGAGTGCAGCATTTTACTACTAGCAGTGGCGAAAGACAGGGAAGCTGGATATAAAGGCAGACAGCTCAAAAAAAAAAAAAAAAACTCAAAAAACCCCCCAAAAATCCCCCAAAAATCCCTAAATAGATCAGCTTAGGAAGAAATTCTTTCCATGGGCAGTTCATGTTCTGATGCATGTTTATATTCTTTGCGCTTGAGTTTTAAATCCATTGCAACATCAGTGTAGCTCTTCACTAACCAACCATATCGTTACTGGACTCTTCACCCTCTTTCAAAACACTTCACTACGCAGGTGCCGTCATCATATGCTACCATGATGCCATCACCCAGTATTAGCTAAATACACGTCAGATCACCTTAACAGTAGGACAAAAACACTCTGCAATTCCATTACTCTGGACATGTAACCCAAGGAACTATTGTAACAGTCTGTACTGCTCTCTCAGTGATTTTTTTTTTTTTGAGGGTAGTCATGGAGAGGGAGGAATAGCACAAGTTTGAGCCTCACCCAGTACGCAGTCAGGTAGAAGCCAATATATATACTCTCACAAGAGAGCTGGTGATGCTTTTGGGTTCCAAAATTTAGATACAGCCTCTCGTTTTCAATTGCTCTAATTAATTCTGTATTAGTCTCAAAGCACAAGAATAATGTAGCTAATGGAGGGCTACAAAGATGATTAGAGGAATGGAGCACCTCTCCTATGAAGAAAGACTGCAAGAGCTGGGCCTGTTCAGCCTGGAGAAGAGAAGACTGAGAGGCGATCTGATCAACGTGTACAAGTATCTGAAGGGGGAGTGTCAAGAGGATGAGGCCAGCCTCTTCTCCGTGGTGCCCAGCGACAGGACAAGAGGCAACGGGCACAAACTGAACCACAGGAAGTTCCACCTAAACCTGAGAAAAAACTTCTTCACTGTGAGGGTGACAGAGCACTGGAACAGGTTGCCCAGAGAGGTAGTGGAGTCTCCTTCGCTGGAGATATTCAAAACCCGTCTGGATGTGACCCTGGGCAATATGCTCTAGAGGTCCCTGCTTGAGCAGGGAGGTTGGACTAGATGATCTCCAGAGGTCCCTTCCAACCTCAACCATTCTGTGATTCTCTAATGTATCTGGATCGCAGGTACCTATCAAGGAGCCTACTATGAAGGAACCTAGAAAGGACTTTCAACAAATCCACAGATCTTAATACCAGAAAGTCATTATAGTCACCTAGTGTGACCTTCTAGGAAGCAGTGAGGGTCATTTTAGAACTTGTGTAAACCTCTAGACCTTTGATAGTGCTGCTGTAACCTGTTGGGCTGAGCTACTCCCCACAAACAGACCAAGTTTTGTCAGAAAAGTTATGACTAGCTGGTTTTGTTGTTTGAGGTAGTTTGTTACCTCACAGCTACCAAACTCACAGACTAATCATCTAGCCTGAGGTCCTGCTTGAGACAGACCAAAAGGCTTCCTCCAGTAAGTCATCCAAAGTAGAAAACCACTTTCAGAAAGGCACCGGATCTTGGATTCAGAGACTCTGGTGATGGAAAGTCAACCACTGGAAGAGTTTGCCCAAGTTCTCTCAGTGTTTTGTACTTGGTATCTCAAATTATGTCCAGGCTGAGCTACCAGTGATTTTCTTTTTTCTTTAAATACTGTTAATAACTAGAGCAATTTCCTTTCCACATGCTAAATATTTAGAACAGACTGAACTGCCTTCATCCCGCTCTTGCTTAAGTTATGAATCTGCAGAGTTTTGATGGCTATAAAAGGAACATGGCTTTCTTTGTCATTAGTGGCCTCAGTGTCAGAACCGTGAACTACAACCAGTTTTTACAATGCTTTGCCCTAGAACACGTCAATATAACTGCTGCTACTGATCAGGGTACTGGACATCCAATACAAGTAAGAGATTTTGTGCTACAAATTCAGTGAGCTAATATGCCAGAAAAATTCAGGCACCCCAAGAATCTCCCAAAGCCCAAAGAGTAATCTCACAAATGTGAGCAGAAGAACATCTCTACCCTTTGGCAGTACAGAAGATGACACTCTAAACTGTTTTGTCTAGCATGGGAAAGATATAATTCTTATATCTACCACTGTTCCAGGAACGCCTACCATGGAATTCCTTGTGTTTCTGACAGGCCTCATGCTGTGGGGTTTGAATCTCCCATGTGTCACTGTCCATCTCTGTATTTGCTTCAGCCTCTTCCTGCTCATCCTCCTCTTCGCTTTCTTCACACAAATTATTGCCCAGCTGACGGCTCCAGTACGTCTTTCGTAGCCAGTCCAGCACAACATCGCATCCTAAAGGAGAACAGGACACACATTCTCTTCTCAGTGAGATTTTCTTCATTATTTAATGTACTTATGTGATATGCTGCTAACTTGCATTGTGAAAAGAAACATGGTATGCAAGCTAAACTCTGAAATCACATACAACTCTGTTAATAAAAAGGTGAACGACAGCAAAGAAAAATAACATTACAGACCTAGTGACACCCACCCACTCCCTTCTCGGCAACAAGAGAGTTTACGTGCTTCTATAGTACTGCACCTCGCTCAAGCTAGGCCAAATACAAGCAGAAAGCAAGTCCCAGCAGTAGAGGTCTGACTGGAAAATGAGTCACTTTTTTTTTTTTAAATCACTATGATCAACACAGTGTCTATAACAACATTCAAGTTTTGTGCAGACAATACAGTAATCATACATTAGGTAGACGGGGAGGGGGAAAACCCTTTTTTCCCCATCACTATTTCAGCACCCAACTCAACCAAGGGAACTTGCTGAAGGTTGTTTATCTGGCTTCTCAGTGCTTAACTCAAAATTCCCAGGAACGGGGAAATCCCTTTAAATGCCGTGAGCTGGTCATTTAGTCAAAACTGCAGTACCTACTGCACCTCTCTTGGAACTGGATGTTTTGTGCGTCCCTGGTACCACTACAGCATCAGAAAAAGTATTTATTATTTATCTTCCACTGACACGAACTTCGCATGCCACAAAGAAGCAACACGGCTGAGCTGTTGTTTCCAGTATTTTTTTTTCAGGGGAGGGAGAAAGTCTCTGAACAGCTTCCCTACAACAAGCCACAGCCTGGAGCCAGGAGGGCAGAGGAGCATCTCCAGTAGGACAGCTGGCTGCTCGTTTCCATCAAATGGCAAGTCATTCCTTCCCAGAAAGTGAGAAAACTTCCAACCCTTTTTGAGAGTCCAATTTTGACTATTTCCAGGTGTGTTTTCCACTATCCAAAATGAGGATTTTGCCCCAGGTCTTCCAATGGCAGAAGACAATGTAGAGGGAATGGTAATATCCACTTCTTCTATGGGTTCCCCCCTGTTCTGCATGATCTCTACCAAGCACCATTCAGCCAACAGACAGAGGCAACCTCCTCCCAGGCATTTCACACCACAGCTCTCCCCCTCACGCTGAGCCTGCTGGTGCCCTGTGGGGCCCCCAAAATGGAGAGCACCAAAACAGAGGGCACCACAGTGGGGGAGCAGCTGTTCCCCTTGAGGCACCACAGCTGGCCCTGGTCCCCCAGCAGCAGCAGTCCTAGCTGCTGGAGGGACACAGAAGCATGGTGTTCTGGTCACTGCCCTGAGCTGAGGGGAACACTCACCCAGCATGCCCCCTAGGATGGTACTCACCCTTGCGGCAGAGTGCTAGTTGGGGTAACTTTCCATGGGTCAGCTCATGACGGAGATCCACAACCCAGATGGGGATATCCACCTGGAGGAACAGCCGCAGATATTACCATACAATTCCCACTGTGTCACGCCATAACCATAGGCACACACCGGAAAGCTCTAGGCAACATCTACCCAAGTATGAACAACAGCATCTTCTGGGCTGCTCCTGCACTGCTGTTCCACCAGCTTCCCTCTTCAGAGGGAGATTGAGGTCACCTCCTCTGACCCCGCAGTAATCCAGACAGCTACTCTTCCATACAAACTCAGGATTTTATAGTTTAAGTTCTCCAATGCTGCTTACAACAAATGGATGCCTTTTTAGACAGAGGCATTATGTATAATTTAATGAGATACTAAGGTGTGGTTAAATTGTATTTAAACTGATGAAACATTCTGGATGACAGATTGATACTTGAATTATACATACTGCAAGTTGCACTCATTTTTGCATTTTCTTAAGGATAACTGACCTTACCTAGGCAAGATCACAATTTTGAAGCTTGACAAGGTATTAGCAATAATTTATTTCAGCATCTAAGAGGTGAGAAGCAGCATCTTGCTTAAAAACCAAGCAAGAAAGATCAGTTTACCATTCTCACCCACTGACCCGACAATGCTGCATGTATAGTAGAGTCTCAAATACTGTCTGCTATTCACTTTCAAAACTTGCTGTTCAGATCCTGGTATGATGCTTGGCCCAACTGGCAATAAAAGAACTCAAGTTGGTTCTGCTACTACAATTACATCCTCTGCTTTTCCTCCTGCACACAGAAATGGACAAGCTTACCTCAAACAAGAGAGGATGACAAGATGAAAACATCAACTCCCATAAGCGTGATATGATTAAGTGTTTTTTTTGTGTATTAAGTTTGGTTCTCAAGTCACTAGACTTAGCTCTTTTTTCCATAACTCAAGAGCTAAGAAACAGAAATGGGTGGTGGATCTGTCAGCAGAACTGTTTAGTGCTAAATCAAGACTTTTAATCACACAGGCTTCAAAACACTTTCATGAACATCACCCTTTGTTAATTCAAACGTGATTTTAAAGAATAAAGCTTTAGCTGTAGTTACATCAAGCCTCTCTAATGCTTTGCAGTTGAGTAATACAACCCAAATCAACTCTATGAAAAGAAATGGCACCTACAGCCATTATTTCAGTAACAAAAAGTGACCTCCACAGCTCCCTCCCTCCAATGTTATTAATAGCCACTTATGCTCGCTGTATGTACATAAATTATCAGGTAACTCTTATTAAATAATTACCTCTCTGGCTAATTGTCTCAGAGGAATGCTGACCATTTTCTGTTTTCTTTCTGTGATCAAGTTGACAAATCTGCATGTGGGTTACAGAAGAGATAAATAATTATCAGCAGCTGCAGAGAAACCTGGAACCCCAGAGATAAATACCCCACAGGCTGTGCAACAGTGCTGCAGTCACAGAGACAAAGAATTAAATTAGACAGCTAAATAACACTATTCTGTCCATATCTCCTTCTTTTTCCTCACACCACAAAGGCCTTCAGCGCCCTACCTTACAAGGGCCAGCCCGTACGATAGGATGAGTTCGTGTGACCTCAGTTTGCCAGATGAATCCAGGACCTTGCAACGAATCAGTTCAGCAGTACAATCTACTGCAAGAGGCATTTTGGGGCCGTACCTAGAGATAAAGGAAAAAGATGTGAACGGTCCTGCAAGAATATACTCTCCCTAAAAAAAGGGGGTGCCTTTCAGGCTGCTTTTTATACTTTGTGGTACAGCAGAGCCTGAGAAAAGGAATGCAGAAAGACAGCATCAAAGGTTCCCTCCTGAAGGTTTTATTTGGAGCAGAGCAACTATATAGCAATTCCTCTGCATATGTTAAATAAGCACATACTGACATACAGAGCACACACACAATACAAGACACTACACCTGGACTTGACTAGACTCGGATGCAGCAGGAGCAACAAGGACAGAATAAGGCCGTTTGGGAGCCGTGGATACACGCGCAGCGGCACACTGCCTCGAGAAAAACCAGCCTGTGAACCTGGGAGCGTGCAGGGCTCCT